GCTAAAGTTATCCAAATTAAGCATATAATATATAAAATTAAATCCCCATCTATCTAGTTTTTAAATATTTAAACCTCTCATCAATTGGATTTTTATTGAGAAAGTTATTGTCAATTTACTATTGACTGATCAGTGGAAACCGAAATGTATGTGATGATAAAATGAATTGTTTGACTGTGAGGCTACAGTTATCCAAATTAAGCATATAATATATCAAATTAAAGCCCTGTCTGTTTAGTTTCTAATGATTCAAACCTTTCATCAATTGAAGTTTTATTGAGCAAGTTATGATCAATTTACTACTAATTGTTCAGTAGAAACCTAAATAGATATGATGATAAAATGAATGGTTTATTAAAGCTACATGGTTTAGCATCAAACATCAGTTGATATTTGTTAAATAAATGAAATTAGTTATATTCAGCAACAAACTCTTTTTATGATATACGTATATAACATAAAAAATATAATAAAAAGGAGATAAAACAATTACAATTAAAGCTACATATCAATATTTGTTTTCCTTTAAGGATAATAATAATGGTTCGACATATTATAAATAGTTTACTAAAGCTACATGGTTCGACAACAAACATCAGATGATATTTGTGGTACAAATAAAATTTGTTATATTCAGCAACAACATGTTTTAGATATATGTATGTAACATAAAAAAATATCAACAAAAAGAGATAGAACAAATACAATTAAAATTTCATATCAATATTTGTTTTCCTTTGTCATCACAAAATTCAATAGATTTTATGTGTGTGATGATAAAATAAATGGTTCGGCCCCAATACTATAGTTATCAAAATTCATCATATAATATATTAAATTAAAGATCTATCTTTCTAGTTTCCAAATATTCAAATCGGTCATCAATTGAATTTTTATTAAGTAAGTTATGGCTAATTTACTATTGATTATTCAGTAGAAATCGAGAAATAGGGGAAACTGAAATATGTGTGATGATAAAAGAAATAGTTTGGAAGTGGAGCTACACTTATCCCAATTAAGTGTATAATTTATCAAATTAAATCCATATTTGTCTAGTTTCTAAATATTCAAACCTCTCATCAATTGGAGTCTTATTGAGCAAGTTATGGTCAACTTACTACTGACTATTCAGTGGAAACCAAAATATATGATGATAAAAGAAATGGTTCGGCAGTGAGGCTAAAGTTATCCAAATTAAGCGTGTAATATAACAAATTAAATTTCTGTATGTCTAGTTTCTAAAGATTCAAAACTCTCATCAATTGGAGTTTTATTGAGCAAGTTATAGTTAATTTACTACTGACTATTTAGTGGAAACCAAAATGTGTGTGATGATAAACAAAATGGTTCGTAAGTGGGTCTACAGTTATTCCAATTAAGCTTATAATATATCAAATTAAATACCTATCTGTCTAGTTTTCAACAATTTAAACCGCTCATCAATTGGATTTTTATTGAGCAAGTTATGATTAATTTACTACTGACTATTAAGTAGAAATTGAGAAACAGGAGAAACCAAAATATGTGTGATGATAAAAGGAATGGTTTGGAATGGGGGCTAAAGTAATCCAAATTAAGCATATGATATATAAAATTAAATCCCTGTTTATCTAGTTTATAAATATTCAAACCTCACATCAATTGGATTTTTATTGAGCAAGTTATGGTCAATTTACTATTGACTGTTCAGCGGAAGCCGAAATATGTGTGATGATAAAATGAATGGTTTGGTAGTGGGGGCTACAGTTATCCAAATTAAGCATATAATATATCAAATTAAAGCGTTGTCTATCTAGTTTCTAAATATTCAATCCTCTCATCAATTGGATTTTTTTATTGAGCAAGTTATGGTTAATTTACTATTGATTGGTCAGTGAAAACTGAAATGTGTGTGATAATAAAATGAATGGTTTACTTAACCCAAATTTAAGGGATTATCATATTAGGACTTATAAGAAATATTTTAAATAATACCTATTAATTGGAAAACAGAATCAGCCAAAATTAATTCATTTAACATATATACTCGCATATCAACAGGACATAAATAATAAATCATTCATATAACAAATTAAAATACACGAATGTTTTAACAGAAAACATACTCAATACAATTGAACTGTTTCTACTAATATAGATATGACACATATTCACAGTTCAACTAACAATATGATCATCCTCGATTTGATATTAGTAAAGTATATGAACATTTCCTTGAAAACAAGCATAACAAAATTTAATCGATCTTCATGTTAAGATCTGTTGAGGAACAATTATTCATTCGTATAACAATTGTTACCTGAAAACGGAATCAACAAAAGTTAATTAATCTTCGTAATAAAATTGTTAAGGAATACACTTACTGTTCAACAGGACTAACACAATTAATCATTCAAATAAATTGACCAAACAAAACCAATCATTTAATCAAATAATAACCGTTAAAATAGTTAGGAGATATACTTACAATTTCGTATTAAAATAGTTAGAAGATATGCTTACAGTTTAGAAGAACGAATCAAAATAACAACTCATTTGACAATGTCAATCGGACATCCTGCCTTTATTCCATGTCAATTCATAAATCTTTGTCCTGTAAACAACAACAAAAACATAAATAAATAAAAAATCATCGATTAATAAAATCATGAAGAATAAACATATTATTAACACAAACTAACATGACCTCTAAACAATTAACAAAAGACCAGACGTATTATTAACACCAACTAACATATTGCAATAATACACAACTGAACATACGCCCCTTTTATAACCTCTTATTTAGACTTTTCGAATGCCAACACAATTAAATACGAACTGAATACGATGAAAGGTTTACAATGTCAATACAATGCACCTATGTAATTATTAATAAATATGTATGTTTTAACCACCAATGCAATGCACCTATGTAATCCAATCTTTATGTCTATTTATTTAGACTTTGGAATACCAATGCAACAATTAACATTGTCTACATCACACCAATAAAATTCAACTACATGACAATCACAAATCCAAGATGTCCTTATGGTTAGACCTTTAAAATATCAATGCAATGCACCTATATAATTAATATTATTATTAATTATTAATACAAAAATGCAGTGCACTTATGTATTCCAATCTTTATGTCTATTTATTTAGACTTTGGAATATCAATGCAACAACTAATATTGTCTACATCATCACCAATAAAATTCAACTACATGACAATCACAAATATAAGGTGTAATTATAGTTAGACCTTTAGAATGTTAATGCAATGCACCTATATAATTAGAATTGTTCCAATTGTTCCAATTTTTTTAATTATTTAATAATTATAGATGGAGTAATAAATATCAATCCAATGTGTCAAGATAGAGCAATTTGATTGACTTGTGAATCCAATGTATCAAAATAGAGCAATTCTAGAGCTTCCAAAATATGTCACATGGCAAACAACTCGCATGAGTATTCATGATGAACAATCAGCATGGGTATTCATGAATCTTAGAGCTAAAAATATCTCATTAAACCATATATCCAACGTGGCAAGAGAGGGCAATTCTAGAGCTCCAAATTAAAACAATTTTAGAGCTAAAAAAAAAAAGAAAAAAGAAAAAAGTGTCATACGTGTCACTCAAATAGGTATGTTTTTACATTTGAATTTGGAATACTAATTCAGCAATTAATACGTCTCTACAACATCACAAATAAAATTCAACAACATAACAACAAAAAATTCTATGTGTCAAAATAGAACAATTTTATGAGTTCCAAAATGTGTCACATGGCGACAACCTAACTTTATATATATACAGTAAAACATCTCTATAGTGATACTTTATATAAGAATAAACTCTACATAGTCATAAAAAATTCAATTCCCAATTTGGGATAGTTATAAATAAGAATAAACTCTATACTGTAATAAGTTATAATATTTCTAATTTACATCTTAAGAAAAGTTGCCTCCACAAAGTAATAATTATCTGTATATTGTAAAAAAAAATATGCTATGTTATATTAAGGGTTTAAGATGAAATAAAATATATATCTAAAGTTGTTTGAGATAATGATTTATGTTTTAGAGTTGTTACTACATCTTTTAACGTGCAGGTAAATTACTCGTTAGCATGAACATCTTCTTGTTAAAGCTGTATATTTTTAGTTTCTCAAGTATATTTAGAGCTTCTTGGCAAAAACTTTTTGTATTTCTGTACTATCATCCTCATGATTATTTTCTTTATCTTCTTGTCTAATTGTAGTAATGATTTCTTCTTTAGTTAAAGCATACATGATTTATTACTCATTTAGATGATTGAGAAAGATATTAATATCTATTCAATTAGTATAATGAAGTTGTCGAATCTGATCACTAAATTCTACAATGACTTTTTGATTGTCCTCGTCCACTTCATTTGTAACTTGCAATTCATCGACATCGGGGATCCTAATTTGGTAATGATTAAAACAATTGGCAATAGTATGTGGCTTCAGATCAATTTGCTACATAATTTGGTAATGATTAAAATAATTGGCAATATTATGTGGCTTCACATCAATTTGCTGCATAATTTTGTAATGATTAAAATAATTGATAATAGTTTGTGGCTTCACATCAATTTGACCATGCAGCAACTGCATTTATAATTTCATCAATGACACTTATCTTTATCAGTTTCAAAATACGATCTTTTATTCATTTTAAAAGTACACAATTGAAGAGTTGAATTGAAATATTAATAGTATTAAAATATTAATTAAAATTTTAATACTGTATTATTAAAATATAAATTATAAAAAAAATTTGTTACCACACTACTATTAAATTATAATTTTCTCATAATAATAATAAAATTAATTAATGTGCTATAGAAAAGTTTTACTCTTATTTTCTACCGAGGTCAAAGTCAAAGCTCTTTACTTTCTTCCCAAGAGGCCCGCAACTTCCAACGCTATTTTGCCACGTCAAAAATATTTAATTCAGTCCATGCTCAAGGCCCCAGCGACAGCAAAAGAACGACACCTTTACAAGGATAAAAGCTCTGCCCCCTCAAAATAAGGAAGAAGGCATCGGCCAAGACAGGGAGGATTGTCTCGTTGATTTAGTATGGAGAACGTGCCGAGAGTAGGCGTAGCAGTGTTCGTGTTGCGTGGGAAAACAGTGCTGTTGGGGCGGCGCCGCTCCTCCATCGGCGACTCTACCTATGCTCTTCCCGGCGGCCATCTCGAGTTTGGTTAGTCTCTCTCTCAATCCTTTTTTCTTTTTAAACATCAGATGTTATTACCCAAAAAAATGTTTTATGTTTAGGGTTAGAGTTGATTTTAGAATTAATTAAATTCATAATGAAGGTTTACTCTAATGGCTGATCATATAAGTTTAGTTAAGCGTTTGGTAATGTGACAACATCTCGTAGTCCCATAGTTTCGAGTTGAAATCTCTCGAATATCATTCATATCTTTCTATCCATTAATTTACTTAATCAAATCTATCTTAAAATCGAATCCATTGATAGCTTTGAGACGTACAAGATTCATTACGCCTTAAATCTCTTACCTAGTGGAGTGATACCTTAACTATTCCACTGAATTATTTCCAGGAGAGAGCTTCGAGGAGTGTGCAGCGAGAGAACTGAAAGAGGAAACTGGGTTGGATATCCAGAAAACGGACTTCTTAACCGCAACTAACACCATCTTTAAAGAACCTAAACCAGCACAGTATGTAACTATTTTTATGCGGGCAATGTTGGATAATCCTCAACAGGTGCCCCAAACTCTTGAACCAGACAAGTGTTATGGTTGGGATTGGTATAACTGGGAAGATCTCCCTAATCCACTGTTTTGGCCTTTAGAGAAAATGGTGCAAAGTGGGTTCAATCCCTTCCCGGCTGAGTAGATTTGATGAGGGGACATTCCAGTTTTAGGTACTTTCTTATGTGGGATTAGATTATGTGATTTAGTGCCTCCAATATGTTTGATGGTTTATCCTAATGTTAATTGTATCTTGATTATGGTGTGCTAAAAAATAACTGTTTTGAATAATTGGCTGCTTTGATCCCATTCATACTTATCAGTTCAGATTGTATTTACTCTGGCAGACAGTCAAAAGGGTGAAAAATCCAATCAAATACTCATTTTCTCGAATTGAAAGACTCGGTATATAACCATTGTTGTGTGAACGAATTTATTCAATCTCCAATTTTACTGCCTAAACATTGAACTTAACCCATTTTCATTTTTTTCCCACTCGTTTTTCCATCAGAAAGAGCAATTACATCGAGTCTTCTTGCACTGTCTTGCCACAATAACCTGTCAATTATGGTATCAAAATACTTTCTTGGCTCAGTGTCAGTGGCAACCGAAGTTATGTCGCATGGTTTCAATCAATTAAATTGTCCAGCTATGAAAACATTCCAATACTGTTAGTTCAAGCTATCAAAAATCTTCATATTATACGAGGCCATTCATTCAGACAACAGGGCGAGTGATTCAAAATTCTGAAAGAAAACAACACAAATACATAAAACTATTGCAATTCATTCTGTTTACTCTTTTTCAACAACTTGGACCTTGGTTTAACAGGCTTCAAAAACCCAGCCTGCAACCTAACCATCTCTCTCAAAACCCCAATCAAAACCCTCTCAATCTCCTCCCCTTCATCTTCCACCACTCTCAAACACCTAGCCACCGCCTCCAACGTACTCACACAACCTTTATAAGGCTCTTTCCTCAACACTAACTCATCATCATAAATACTCCCACCTTTTAAACTCTCATCCACATCCAAACACACCCTTATCGCTCCTAAACCCTCCAAAACCCCTTCACTCGCCTTCACCATCTCCTTCGCATGCTTCCACGTGGCATCAAACACGATTAAAAGTAAATTTCGGTTATCCCCTTGCAAATTTATTGACTCTTTGAGCTCCGATAGAGAGACGGCAGGCGAGCCAGGGGATGGCGGGAATAGGTAGATAGTGGTGGTGGGAGAAGGGGAAGGGGAATTGGACTGGTTGGTGATGTGAGAAGGGAGGAGTTTGCGTGAGAGATGGGTGGTGACGTGGCGGAGGGACTTAGTTAAGAGACGTGCAGTGTTGAGTTTGTGGTGGGACTCGTGTGGGTGGTGGATGATCATTAATTTTGTGGTGGTGGTGGTCATGGGTGGGATGGGGATGATGTGGCAGAGACAAGCTGCGATTGGACGCTCGCAGTTGCCGCACATCTGGCGGCGCTGCCCTGGTGGTGAGCTGCTGCTGGGGGCTTCTGCTTCCATTTGAATGCGTCTGTGTTTTTCGGCTTAAAGAAACGCTGCGTTTCCTTATAGTAAGGGGACAAAGCCCAAGTCCTTACTTTAGGCCTAAGCCAATTAGGCCCTTGAGCCCTAAAGTGTTGTATCAAGGCTGAAGTCCAAACCTGTACGTTAGAAATTAATTTTGGTAATTCAAAAGGGTATATTCTAAAAAGATTAACCTTTTAAGTTTTAACATCACCCTCATAAACAACTAAACAAGAGATGGACAAAATAATTGACGTGTTAATACTTAATAGATACCCATCAGATTTATGTGTTGTTAAATTTAGAATTGCTTTAAACTGATATGTAGAACATAAAATGTATTAGTTTGGATGGAAGAGAAAACCTTTTGTTTTTGTTTTTTCAATGTTATTTGCTGTTGGTTCATAAATGGTATATGATCTAAGAGTGAATTAAAGTAACCTTTGTACATTTGTTTGAATGATGTTAGCACATCAACTTGTATAATCTTAAGTTTAAAACATAAGTTAAAAGCATTACAAGAAAGGTTATAGATGGAGCTGAACAGTATAAGGCGGTCTTATGAATCATAATGCACTTAGTAGGGTAAGTTATGGTTACTCCAAGTCCAACCTAAAACTACAGTAGACAGTAGAGTTAAACATTGGTGGGCATAAATGCAGAAGCAGTCAGCACCAATCCCGGAAAAGGCGGATAAGAGTCTGCGGGCAGCTTCTCAGGCAAAGAGATGCTTAGAAGCTATAGGATACTCCGCACTTCTGCGGCTGTACCCAGAATTGGTCCAGGGAGCAGTCCTATAACCAGCAGTGCCAAACTCTAATAAAAGCTTTCAGGATACTCTTATAACCAGCGTTAGTGCGGGACTACTAGCTCAGGAGTACTCCTACAGATAGGGATGGCGTAGGGACAAATAGCTTCAAGTTAATAGGCACTATTTCCAAGTCCTGAAAATTGAATCAACCACTCCCAGTAAAATGTTTGCTTATTGGCAATCGGCATAGTTACAACATACAATGGCTTTGGTCCCAATCACATAAATTTTCCTGCAATTTACATTCGATGCTGACATATCCAACTATTCCTTGCATCACAGACATAAAACTTTGCTGAGGATTGCTTTACCATTATTTAACACTTGGATATACAGTTACTTATTAGGTGACTTACTGATATGGTTGATCAAAAGCTTATCAACTTAACCTTAAAATCACTTTATCTAACGGTGCTTATGCTGAAATTTAATTTTTAACGTTTAAGTAGGTAATTGTTTGCTTCGGATAATTGCTGACCAGTTCTTCCTGATGCATTTGTCTAATTTGTATTTAAATTTCTATTTCTTCTTACAACTGGACATTAAATAAAGCTATTATACCTTGAAAGTCGTTTGTGGAAGACACTTCAATACAAGCCATAAGCTCCTTGCCTTTTGTTTAATATTTCTGTAATTTTCTTCATGAGCTGGTGTTCATTTTTTTGACTTTCTTTTATTCATATATATTCCTTTGTCTCTTTCCCCTTAAAATTTTATATCTAGTTAGTAATACATCTTCCAAGTCTAAATCTCTTGTGGTTCAAGTCGTTGGTTATTGATCATGGTTGTTGATCCGCGGGTTTGGTCTGGTCGGTCTCTATTAGATTATTGAACAAAGAAACTTAAAATAATCTCAGAATTAAAAGCATTAGAACCAGTATATTGATGGAACTTATGATGGTAGTACAAAACAACTAATACCTCAAATTTCAACAAGATTTGACTCCACAAGGATTAAAGTGAGGAAGACATGTGGAGCACATGCAAAACCTTCACGGGGTCCTTGCTTTTAACCTTGGGATCTTGATATACATTATAAAATGGTTTAACATATGACCAGATATTTATAGAAGCGGCCCTATTTTTCACATTCTTGTGAAAGAAGAAGTTGTTTATTGGCTCGATGATTGCAGCGGTGATATGATTACTTCACTTTTGACCTTTGCTGCTAGCTTTCACTGTTGCCATCTCATCTCAATTATGACTTACCCTGTACTTCGTGGACGACTTTTGTTAGTTCTGCTTAAAAGTACTTAAAGCCCTTATAAAGCCCAATAATTTACAAATTTTTATTTTACAGAATGTAAGTTTCAAGATTCAAAGTTGAGACTGCGGTTGATTTTCTTTTTCCTGCACAGTTTGCATTCAAAAAGAAAAAATGACGGCCCTCAGTATCTTTTTCTTGTTTAATAAAAAGAATCATAGCCCTTAAACTGGTATATTGTTGCCTGGATTAAAATTATAGAGCTCTGGAATCGGAACCTTCTCCATAATTTAGTAATTTACCCACAAGTGAGAAATCATTTGCAGTTCATATAAGCTGCAAAATAGTTAGGTAGCTAATCATTCTCTCCACCCAAAGAGATAATAATAATNTATGTCACTTATCTCTGGTTTAATGTGTATTGTTGTGATGCAAATTGATTTTCTTAATGATTTGTTTGTTGGCAAAACCCTTTTCACAACAGGCAAGGTTTTTCTTCCAGCAGCTAATATCTGGTGTTAGCTATTGTCATGCCATGGTATGATGATATCCAAAATTTAATTTTACATCTTATGTTATGATCTCTACCTTATATACTTATTTCTTTTACTGCAAGAAATTTGTCACATGGATCTGAAGTTGGAAAACACACTATTGGATGGAAGTCCAACACCAAGTGCTAAAATATGTGACTTTGGTTACTCTAAGGCTTATGTTTTTAGTTGAATAGCAGCACATAACTCTGCTGCTTTCTTAGCAACTCTCTCCTTTTTTTCCCCCTAAAAGGAAAAAACTTAGTACTAAGGGGGCGTTTGGTTGGCGGTAATGTCAGATTATTGGGGTAATGCCATCTGATATTACTTGATTACCACGTTTGGTTGTCAAGTAATATAAGATTCCGGTAATCTTCAAATACTAATAGTAACTACTATTGGTAATATTGGAGGTAATCTGATTACCTCCATTTTCTTAGCTATTCTGAGATTACCAAGGTTATCCTTTTTTGTTACAATTTTATCCCTTATTAATGAAAATTTTGGACAATAATGCCCTTATTTTAAAATAAATTTATATTAATATCCTATTTCAATTTTACCCTTATTTAACTAAAATTTTGGACAATAATGTCCCTGAATTTAAAACAATTTACAAACCACAGCCACTCAGCCACTACCACCATTGCCACTTAGCCACCACTACCATTGCCACCCAGCCACCACCGCCTACAGCGGCCAACCACCACGGACTGCCTCAGAAAACTTGTCGGAGTCCCTAAAAAAGAACGAGTTTCGGTGGGAGGCTCCGAGAGTCATCGTTATGGCTGTTTTCGGCCATATTGATGGCCGAAAACGGCCATATCAGGCCAGATCCCTGGCCATTATCGGCCAGATCTGGGAGAGATCTGGCCATTAACGGCCACGAACCTGACCGTTAACGGTTAGATCTCGCCCAGATCTGGCCATTAACGGCCAGATCCACCGATCTGGCCGAATATGGCCGTTTTCGGCCATTAATATGGCCAAAAACGGCCATATCGAAGCCTCTTGGTCACGGTGAGTTGCTGATGGGGACTTTCGGAGACTTCTGACGGTGGTCTGCGGTGGCGGAAGGAGGCGGGGGTGATTTCGTAATAAATTAAAGTTTTATATAAGTAGGGGTGTTTTAACTAAATCTGAAATATTGGGGGTTAAAAGAAATTATTCAAAAATTAATAATAAAAATAATATTATATTAATATTTGTAAAGGGGACAATTTAGTAATTTAAATAACATACCTACCAATTTATTCCCCATAACTAACCATATTAATATAACATACCCACCAACTAACCAA